AACGGCAGCTCCGTGAACATATTGTTTGGCTCCACTTTTGACAAAATGAAAATTGAACATGGGTTAATCCCCATGACCGACCCGCTGTTCGGATTCACTAGGGACAGCATCATCCCACGAGGGCGGATTACCCTGCCTGTGGAAATGGGTTCGGCCCCCCTGGTTGCCCAGCATTTCATGGAATTTCTGGTGGTAGATCATAGGTCGGCTTATCATGGGGTGTTGGGCAGACCGGCTCTAAAAGATCTTTGGGCTGTGACGTCCATTCACTATCTGTGCATGAAATTCCCAACTGAACGTAGGATTGCAATGGTTCGGGGCGATCAGATGAGCTCCAGGGCATGCTACCTGAACTCACTACGCAAATCGGAGCCCCGGACTGTCAATGTAATTCAAGCAGAAGTACCCGCTGAAGCCGGTACGGACGTGGAGATGCTCGACGCCCCTGAACAAGGGCATACCTCTGGACAAGAGGAAGATGTCATAATGGAAGAGGCCCCTGAACAAGGACACCCTCTTGACGAGTTAGATCCCCGAATAATTGATTATGAACCAAACGCGACCCCAATGGAAGAACTGGAAACTTTTCCAGTCAATCCAGAAGACCCCAATCAAGTCTTGCGCATAGGGAAGTCATTATCGCCTGAAGCAAAAATTGAGATGATACGATTCCTGAAAGAAAACCTAGATGTCTTCGCATGGAAACATGAGGATATGGTGGGGATAGATCCCAGGATCAGTTGCCATCACCTTAACATCAACCCCTCCTATGCCCCCCATAGACAGAAGAGGCGCGCGCTGAATCCAGAACGGTACGAGGCGCTGAAAGACGAAGTAAGTAAACTCGATCGCAGTGGTTTCATCAGAGAGGCCATATACCCGAGGTGGATATCCAACCCGGTTCTAGTGAAAAAGTCCAGCGGGAAATGGAGGGTCTGTGTGGACTTCACAAACCTGAATAAGGCATGCCCCAAGGACAGCTTCCTACTTCCAAGAATTGATCAACTGGTCGACTCCACTGCTGGGCATGAACTACTTAGCTTCATGGATGCATACTCAGGGTACAACCAAATACCCATGTTCCGACCTGATGATGAAGCTACATCATTCATCACGGACAGGAGGCTGTATTGCTACAAAGTCATGCCCTTCGGATTGAAAAATGCCGGGGCCACGTATCAGAGGTTAGTCAAAATGATGTTTGCCAAACTCATTGGCAAAACCATGGAGGTCTACGTGGACGACATGTTGGTCAAAAGCCTCCAGGCGGCCGAACACGTGAGTCACATTGACCAAACCTTCCAGATACTCAAAAGGTATAACATGAAGTTGAATCCCCTCAAGTGCACTTTCGAAGTGGCATCGGGCCAGTTCTTGGGATACATTGTAAATCAGAGAGGAATTGAGGCAAACCCGGCAAAGGTGGCGGCTATAATAGAAATGAGTTCACCTCAGAAACCAAAGGAGGTCCAAAGTCTCAATGGCCGGATAGCCGCCCTCAGCCGCTTCATCTCCAGAGCCACCGATAAAAGCTTGCCTTTCTTCAAAGTATTGAAGTAAGGAAAGAAATTTCAGTAGACTTCGGAGTGCCAAGAGGCCTTCGAGTCTCTGAAGAAACACCTCGGTGAATCGCCCCTCCTATCGAAACCCCATCCGGATGAATCTCTGTTGCTGTATCTAGCAGTGTCAGACGTAGCAGTCAGCGCGGTCCTAACCAGGGAAGAAAATGGGCGTCAATTGCCGGTATATTACATCAGCAAAGCACTTCTCCCAGCTGAAACACGCTACTCCGACATGGAAAAACTGGCACTCGCACTTATTACAGCTTCGAGAAAGCTGAGGCCATATTTCCAAGCTCACTCAATTCAAGTCCTCTCCAATTTCCCTTTAAGGCAAGGAATGCAGAAGACGGACGCGTCAGGACGCCTACTGAAATGGGCTATCGAGCTCAGCGAGTTCGATCTCACGTTCCGACCTAGACACGCTATCAAGGGCCAGGCCCTTGCCGATTTTATGGTCGAATTTACCAAAGCCCCAGAAATGGAGGCCCTGATGGAGCCAGCCGAGCCCCCCGCATGGAAATTGTTTGTAGATGGGTCTTAGGAGAGGCAGGCGCAGGGGCGGGAATCGTGCTGGAAAGCCCGAAAGGTCATTTGTTGAATTGTGCGGTAAGATTCGGCTTCAGAGCCTCGAACAACGCAGCCGAGTATGAGGCCCTTCTGGCAGGACTAAGGCTCGCCAAGGAAATGCAGGTCAGGAAGCTTCTGGCAAACAGTGATTCTCAGCTCGTAGTGAATCAGGTAAATGGGGATTTCGCGGCCAAGGATGATAACATGCTCGCGTACTTGAAGCTGGTTCTGGACATAATTCCCCATTTCGAAAAGTTCGAACTGATTCAAGTCCCCCGTCTAGAGAATGCCCATGCAGATGCCCTCTCAAAGTTGGCCAGCAGCGTGAACTCAGAGCTTCTGAACATCGTCCCCATTGAGCACTTATCAAAGCCCTCCACCTTCGAAGGTGAAGAGTTACTATGGATAGAAGGCACCCCATTGTGGATGCAGCCCATAATTGCATATCTAAAAGAGCAAACGCTGCCTGCTTCCAGAAGTGAAGCAAGGAAATTAAGAAGAAGGGCTGCACACTTCGTCCTTCAAGAAAGAACCCTTTACAAGAGAGGCTTTGCCTCTCCCCTTCTTCGATGTGTGGGCGGCGAAGAGGCCACCTACGTACTCAGAGAAATACATGAAGGGATCTGCGGAAATCACTCCGGAGGGACGGCTCTGGCACACAAGGTTCTCCGTCAGGGCTACTTCTGGCCAACCCTGAAAATGGATGCTTGTCAATTTGTCCAGAAATGTGACAAATGCCAGCGCTTCTCGACGTGCAAAGACAGCCTGCGCAGAGCCTCTCTATAGTGACCAGCCCTTGGCCATTCGCCAAGTGGGGCATCGACTTCATTGGTCCGCTACCAAAGGGTAGGGGAAGCGCAACTTTTGCCATTGTCGTCATCGACTACTTCACTAAGTAGGTCGAGGCAGAACCCCTTGCTCGAATCACCGAGGCCAACACTACAAAGTTCGTTTGGAAGAGCGTCATTTGTAGGTTCGGCATCCCTCACTCCATTGTCTCTGATAATGGGCAGCAGTTCGACAACAGGAAGATGCGAGAGTTATGCGACGAACTAGGCATAAAGAAAGACTTCTCGACTCCGCATCACCCTCAGGCAAATGGACAGGTCGAAGCAGTGAACAAGACTATCAAGCACACCCTTAAAAGGAAACTGGATGCCTCAAAAGGCGCCTGGGTTGACGAACTCCCCCACGTCCCCTGGGTCATCAGAACGACTTGCCGGACCGCAACGGGCGAGACCCCATTCTCAATGACCTACGGAGCCGAAGCGATGAGTCCGGTCGAGGTCGGTGTCCCATCACATCGGCGGATACATTTCAATGAGATCAGCAACGATGAGGCGCGCATAAGTGAACTACACCTCCTTGAGGAAAAGAGAGACGCCTCCCAGATGACCTTAGCGAAATATCATCGTAAGATGACCCGCTTTTACAACTCCAAGGTCAGAAACAGGACTCTCCGCTTGGGCGACCTCGTTCTCAAAAGAGTGTTCCAATCTTCGAAACCAACCGGGTCAGGAGTTTTTAGCCCGAACTGGGAAGGCCCGTACCGCATTCAGGGAGAATCCCGACCTGGTACTTTCGAGGTCGAAGATATGTCAGGAAGGGTGTTACCTCACAAGTGGAACATCGAGCACTTGAGAAAATACTATCAGTGACAAGAATGTTCCAATTTGATCCTAGGTCGTCATAGCTAAATCGGTTGTCCTGATCTGACATTGGTTGTAAAGATTATTAAGTGATGGAATCACCTTTGTAAAGGGTGGTGTAATTTATCTTCAGTAATGAATTTTCAGTTCCAAACCGGATCAGCCAGGGAATGGTTTCCTCAGTTCTTCGAAAGGTTCATTTGAGCGATTCGATCGTCACTTATTAGCTGATGAACAAACGTTCCCTCACGTTTTCCCAATTGGTCTGGCCTCAGATTATTAAGAAGTTAAGGTAAGGGGGTCACTTCCTACTCACTTAAGTGTTTATTGTGTTCGTTTAAGGAGACCGATTCACGATTGTTAACTGGTCGTTATCACGAGGCAGTTGGCCTAATGTTTGTCATTCATACAAGTATAAAACAAAAAGGGATACAAAGAAGCAGAAGCAAAAGAACTTCACAGAAATGTAACAAAATTTTCCATTTCATGAAATTGAA